TTCTCGCATGGCAGTCTAAGTGTTATCTTCTCTCCCAAAGGCCACTTTGCCAATATCAACTTTTTACATGTGGCCTTTCTCAACATCTTGAATAATAATATAAGTGGATAAGAAGAGATCAAAGCAAAATTTCAGTACATTCTGCCACCTTAAATCTTGAGCTCTGAATCATCTACTAAAATTATCCCTGAAAAAATTTCATGTGAATCTCTCATGAAAATCTGACTTTTTTAAAACAATGTGTTGACCATCTCTGGCTACTCTTGGCATCCATTGTCCCATGAAGACAGTCATCTAGAACACTGTAGAATCAAACACCTCTATGTAACCAGTGTGCCCCTGACTTTTGCTTGCACTGGAATTTGCATCTCTAGGTCTGTGTGTGTACAGTGAACATGTGTGCATCTTGTTTACCCAGGAATAACTACACATTTCTTAAATCATAACTCTTCCCCCACTCCCCAGATGCTTTCCTTGGAAGTAGAAACAAGCATTGCTTCACAAGGACAAACAGCTTAGACACATCCAGTTTTCTATACTACTGCAGCCCAAGAGACATTAACATGAGCTGCAGGTGTGACACCCTACTGCTTAGTCTCCTCATTCCCCCAACACTATCCAAGAGGGGCAGGTCAAGCAAAGTATGAATCTGAGAGTTCTAAACTTCATTTCTCTTTTGTGTAGGGGTTCCTTGAGTTTATCTGGAGAGTGGCATGGGCCTATGTGGCCTGTTGGTCATGCATACAATTCCTCTTCAGCAACCTGACAGCGAAAAGTATGCTTGTAGGAAAAATCTGACTGGTAATTCGCACTGAAATTCTGCAAAGCAACCTGGGAAGTGGTTATCCTTCTTACTGGTAAATCAATTAAGAGGGGAGTAGCTGACACACCCTTCCACCTCTCAGACACTGCTAATCCTCCAATACTAATGAGCAGAAGCCTCAGGTAAGCTCAGGTTATTGATGATATCAAGACAACTGCAATTCTCTTGTGCTCTATACCTATGGCAATGTCAGCCAGTCTTCAGGTTCAGAACAGGATTGAAATACAGACACCTGTTACTGTCTTTATTATTTTTTAAACAAAAATAAGTGGGCACCTTCTTGAGCCTTAGTTTCCTCATCTGTACAAAAGAGATATACTTTTCAGACTCAAGAGTGGCCTCAGATATTATAGTGCAAAACTGAGCCACTGCAGGGAAATTGCTAGAAGTGCCATAAAATAAAATCAGGTTTTATTGTGATGACAAATCCACTACAGACAGAAAGACACCACACACACACACACACACACACACACACACACACACACTGCAGCACTGCAGTGATTCAGCCACATCCTTGGCTGGGTAGTATCATTTCCATTTCCAGCACTGTCCCTAAAGCTGCAGGTGGCAGCAGCTTTTGAGCCAGAGCAATTAGACCACAACATGCCCACAAGACCCTGCCCATTCAAAGATTCCTTCCCTGAAAGATCCTTGGATGGGAATGAAGCATCTCTGGCTGGGAAACAGAGAGCCATCAGCCAGACTGTACAAAACACAGGTCTGGTAAACAGACTTGACCCTGGCACTTACTATACTGAGTGGGCCTGAGGACAAGACTCAAGTGACAATAATGAATTCTAATGACCCAGGGATGTTTATTTCCTGTAAAGGGAAGAAGCTGCAGGCTGGCACTCACCAGGCCCACCATGACAGAGCCCCTACATCAGTGGGGTAAGCCTTCCTCATTTCTATTTCCACATCTAATACATTGTTCTTCATATTCCAAGTGTCAGGCTCAGAGACATCTTGCACTACTGAAATACCAGAACCTAGTCAAACTCAAACCCAAGTGACGAACTAATTCTAGTCAGTGGCCAGAAAGACAGAACTCACATCAATTGTAGTAGAGGTAGGTGAAGGTCATTAAAATAATTCTAATGCCTCCCTATCATTGGCCTAGGAGAATGGAAGATGTTCTAGGCACCTCATCACTTTTCTCATTTAGAATCAGGACACCTGCTATGTGAAAAGATAGCATCCTATTCATGGCCTGTGAGAAAGTCTACACTATAGGCCTCAAATGTGGCTTCTATAAACCTTAGCCCATTAGGAAGTTCCCATTAGGAAGTTTATTACAGACCCATTATTCCTGGTAGTGAAACCCTGGGACACTGAATGGAGTCTACTTTGCTATCTAACCTGTTTTCTAGGCTGCAAGGATCAGAGAACACTGGAGATAAAGCTTCCCCAGAGGTCAACACTGTAGGAGCTCAGTCATCACTGCCCGAGAGTGGTACTGAGAAGGAACCCCCCCCCACACACACACACACACACTTCTGTCTTTAACCCAATGGCTCATGAACTATCTCAAATTGGAGAATTTCTTTTTCTCAAAGAAAAAAGAAAATGCACTGACAAAATTAAAAGGCAATGGTTAATTTATGAGAAACTATATAAATAAAAGCACAATTTGAAGTTTTGCCAGGGGCAACAGATCTTATCTGATGGATTCAAAGCCTGCAAGGAAGGCAGTGACCATCTGTTAAATAAATAACTCGTTAGATGAAAAGCGAGTGCTTCCATAAGAGTAACTGAAAAACCTGCTGGAGCCCACTGCCCATGAGCATGGAGAGATGAAGATAATCTGGGACCTGAGACAATTCAAAGAATCATGCTTAAAGAAAGCTGGGAAGAGAATATAGGGAATGACAGGTTTAAGTTTGGAGATGTATTTTAAAAGAAATCTGAAAAGTTGAAAAAAATTAAAAAATAGCATCCCACAGTCATAATAACAGGGAGGTACTGAGTTCAAGATGAATGCAGAAGCAAATGAACATATTTCCTGATGCCGACTTGTGCTTTTGCCTCGCTGAATAAAGATGAGATTCCCCTTCCAGTGAATACTCTGCCCCATGTGCAGTGTATTTGTGGCACTGACAACCAGGGGCTCCAAATATAATCAAAGTCAAATAACAACAACAAAACCTAACCCAATCTCATCTTTCCTTGGGTGAATGATAAAAGTCTCAAGAATCCCAAAAGATCCCAATGAACATTAATTTCTATTGCTCATTTCAAAAACAAACAAACTCATGATGCTGGTCTTTTCCTGACCAGAATGAGAGAACATGCATTCACGCTTTAACTCTTTCCCAGCAGTGCCTCCAAGGAGACGATTAACATACTTGACTAATGTTCCTTAGTCCCTGAAATAGGACTAACAACCGCTTTCTGACATAAAACATGAGACAGTTTTCCACACAGTTCTCCACGACCTGGATGTCATCTCTGGGAAGGACAAGTGGAGGTGGCCTCTCCATGTCTCTGACCTTCAATCTTCAAATCTATGTTCCTCTCAAACTGAAGCATCCAACTGGACCTGCCCTTCACTCCCTTACTTCTAAGAATGTCTAAGCTATGCTATGGAGGAGTAGAGAAAACGTGATAAAGATAAAAAGTGACAAGTGTGTGACAGTCTCCCTCTTGGGAGCACATGTGACAGTAGAGAAACAAAACACATATGAGCAGGTGTGACCTTTCATATACCAGTCACAAAGTCCTTGCAAAATGAATAAACCTCCACCTAGGTTGTGGGGCAGAGAAGGCCAGAGATCTGTGTTGAATGGAATCCTTCCAGTCATGAGGGCCCCACAATGTTGGAGCCTTTAGCTAGCTTACCTTGTGCTTTTGTAGTTTCTCAGTGATGAGGAAAGCAAATAATGCACTTGGGTACATGGGCACCAAAGGGCTTTGGTTTTCCAATCTATAAATTATTCTATATGAATAGTTCTTATTCAATAGCCTGTTGACATCTTGGGTCTCAGGTTCATGGAATCTGGGGTGCTTACAACCCCCTCACAATGTGTGAACATTCTATGGCAAAGGCATGCTTCTAGACCCGGGGAAAAAGAGGGCTTTGCAAAGCCACTGGAGAATGAAAATTGCACACCAAGAGAAGACGTATTAGAGTTTTAGAGATACTGAAATAACCTTATGATCATTTTGGTTCTGATCCACCTAAGTTCTTACCAGCAGAGCTTTCCAGCTGGGTATAGATCACATCTCTCTAAAGCCAACACGCTGTACAGGATTTGGCTCCTAGAGCTATCAACTGTTTCATGGAGTTAAGACCGCAGCTTCCCCATGTCTCCATGGTGAAATCCTGACCTCCTATGAATCTATCCCAGCTGCCAGTCAAGAGGAAAATAGAGAATTGGGGAGTTGGAAGAGCCAACTCTACCTCAGAAGCACCTGGAGCTCAAGTAGAAGAATCCAGGAACCATTCCTTTTCCCTTTGGTGGAAGAGATCCCCTGTGTAGAAACTGTTGTCCAATAGATAGATAGAGGATAGATAGGTAGATGATAGACAAATAGATAGATGGATAGAGAGAGATGATTATATAGATGATAGATAGATAGATAGATAGATAGATAGATAGATAGATAGATAGATAGATAGAGAGGCAGGCAGGCAGGCAGGCAGGCAGGCAGGCAGGCAGGCAGGCAGGCAGGCAGACAGACAGACAGACAGACAGACAGACAGACAGACAGACAGACAGACAGAAACATAGATAGGCAGACAGAAAGACAATCAAGCTGACAAGAAGCAAACTTGAGGAGGGGTGAGCTCTGGAGTTCAGCTGGAACTGGTTCAGGTGAGGGTGTTAGATAATCTCTCTGGGCTTGCCTCCTTTCCTCTATAATGGGACAATGATAGTTTCTACCCAACAGGTTCACTGTAAGCCAAAGTAAGACATGGAAAGGGCTAAGAATTGTGCAGGCACAGGGGAATCCCGTGCACAGCTACATAATCTCACAGGGGTTGCTGTTCCCAACATTTGTATTATTGCTATTGCCATCAAGACGCTTGTTAAAATCACAGCCTTCTTACTGCACTCCCAGCCCATAAAGTAGACCCTCCACAAGTGGTATGATGGATCTGTTCTCAGCTCATGGCCAAAGCCACTCTGCTGCCCAGAGGGAGAACACAGGAACTCCTGACCACTCCTCTTACCTTCCTTTTGTTGGTGGGGTTGACATAAAGGTAACTGAGGACGGTCTTCAAACCCACTTTGTCATTTAGTTTTTCATAGGTGGTGCCATAGTCCGTCGACCTACAGAAAGACAGGGGGACAAAACAAGAAAGGAGAGATTACTTTATCAAAAGAGGGATTACACTTAAAAGGGAGCCAGGATCCCTCCTCCCAAACCTGCATCTTTGTTCCCAAATCACATGGAAGTGTTCTACAGAGATAAAAAGGCCCATTAGTTTTAGAAGAGCAATTAGACTAATGCATCGTCTTCCTCCCGAGCTTGCTCTCCTTTGCTCCCAGCCTTTCTCAGAGACCTACTTTCTTGCCCTCTGTGAAGCTGTGTGGTGAAAGGAGCTGCTGGAGACTGTCTGCCTGCCACCCACACAGCTTCCTCAGTGGGTCTGAATGAGGGGATGGGCAGAACACACTTCTCACCATCCAACCCTCAGTTCCATGTGAGTGTGAACCACAAAGGGAGATGCTAGGGGGTTCCCACCATTTCCACCAGAGGGGGTGAGTGGGGTCTCCTGCAGACATCACACTACAGCCAACTTCACACCCCTCTCCACTGAACCTAAAGCAAAGGAGTTGTCAGGAACAGGAAGAGCATGCCGGGCCAGGTGATCAGAGGAGGCAACACCAGGAAGAGACTTTGACAACTTACATGGGTACATCACAGGTCACAAACCAACGTCACTGGACTGGCCAGGGTGGCTCCTCATTCTGACTACAATGCTACTGCCAAATTTCTAGCAGAATGACCAGGTTGTAAAAATCAAAGAAAGGCTGGGAGGATAAAGTAGATCAACCCATTATCTAATCTTCTATGCTGGCTCTTCCTCTTGCTCGCCAGAAAAGGGAAAGAAAGTGCCAAACAAAAGGATTCATGAGGACAGGCTGCGGGCCACACTCCAATCACTGCTGCAGCCCTCTACACATCTCCCTTCCTTTGGAGATGATCAGTCTGACCAGGCTTCCCCTCCAATGTTTCAGCACCTCTTTGGTTAGTCTTGGGACGCTTAAGCTTTTGAAGGGCCCAGAGGACAAAGCATTCACTGTGTCATCAGTTGACCTTGTGAGTGTGAGGTGTTGAGCCTCTTAATCTCAGTTTCCAACGTGTGTCAATATGACTCCTCTTGACTTTGGCATCCTGACAGCAGAGCAGCCACCTGTCCTTGATTTCTCCTCAGTCCTTTATCCACTCTCAAACTCTAATCTGTTTCTGCCTTGGCCTGAGAAGCCTAAATGATGACCTTTAAGGGTTGGTGCCATAACACAGAGGTTCTCAACCTGAGGGTCATGACACCTTTGAGGGGGGTGTCTAATGACCCTTTCACAGGAGTGCCTAAGACCATAAGAAAGCGCAGATATTTACACTAGGATTCATAATAGCAGCTAAATTACAGTTATGAACTAGCCATGAAGTAACTTTATGGTTCGAGGTCACCAAAACATGAGGAACTGTATTAAAGGGTCACAGCATTACGAAGGTTGAGACTCATGTATGGCATAAGGTTTCCCTACCCTGCTTCCCCAAACCATTCTAAATCCCTCTGGCCTAGAATGCATTTCCATATCCTTCACGAAAGCACACTCTGCACATCTTTTCTCTAACTCTTCGAGGGTGTTAAGGTTATTGCGTGTGTGTTCTGACATCTAAACCACAGGAAAGCTCCTCAGGGTCAAAGTACTTCAGAGGATGCCATAAACTCTGGAGACAGGGGAATCTGATTCTTGTAATAATTTACTAATTTATTTATTTAACATTCCAGACATAGTTTCCCCTCCCTCCTCAGTCCAGGTACCTTCCCCTCACCCACCCTCCTGTTTCTGCTCCCCAATCTACTCCTCCATTTCTGTTTAAGAGCAGGTCTTCCATGAGAATCAACAAAACATGGCACATCAAGTTTCATTAACACTAAGCACCTTCCCATGTATTAAAGTGGGGCAAGGTGACACAGTATGCCGAGTAGGGTCCCAAAGCCTGTGAAAGGGTAGGAAATCTGCTTCTCTTCCATCCCCGTAGCTCTCTTATTCAATGCTTTGGACAAGCCATATAACCCTCAGGAGCTTAAAGTTTCTTATCTGAAAAATGGAGATACTTCAACCTCATGAAGTAATTGTGAGGATATAAAAATAATAGAACAGAGGAAGACCAATAGAATCCAGGGGTGAGAAATAATAAGACACAATTAGGAGGCTTTGTTCATTCCTCCTTCCTACCACAGGTCTTACCCATTACGTATACTTCATCTGCTCATTAAAGAAACTCATAGGTATTTGAAGTCTCTCCCTAGGCCACCATCTCCACATGTGTATCAGTTATAGTAACATTAACAATCAGCCCCACAAGAAGCCGGCTTCCTATGCTTGACCTCAGGCCAGCCACATTCGCAGGCATTCCTAGGCAGGTGTGCAGTCAGTCCCAGGCTGATGTGCAGCCAGGCACTCCCAGGCAGATGTGCAGTCAGTCACACCCAGATAGATGTGCAGGTACTCCCAGGGAGATGTGCATCCAGTCAGTCCCAGGCAGATGTGCAGCCAGTCACTCCCAGGAAGATGTGCAGCCAGTCACCCCCAGACAGATGTGCAGCCAGTCACCCCCAGGCAGATGTACAGTCAGTCACCCCCAGGCAGATGTGCAGTCAGTCACTCCCAGACAGATGTGCAGTCACTCCCACTCTTGATCTCTGCCTGTATCTCTCAACAGCAACTCTATCTCCAAGTCCTCATGATTCTTCTCCCAAATAAATTTTGTAGCAAGTATCCCATCCCTCTGCATGTCAGTGTATGGGTCATACGTGCATTCTGACAGTCTTCCGCTGGGAGGATGCTTTCATGCTCTCCCTGACACCTAGTCTCCATGCTGTTAGTAGATCACCCTCCACCCACTGAACTCTGTGCACCTTCACTGGAAAGGACCCGCAGCATGCACACAGATCAGCTTCATTTTTCCAGACACTTGGTTTCCCCATCCTTACAGAGCCCATCATCAGTCATTCCCTCCTCACAGCTTTATTCCTGGCTTCACTGAACTCTCCTATCGTGTCCCACATTTTACTACCCTCCCTGAGCCAGCCATCTCTACTTCCTCATAATAACTTTGTCACCAACCTTCAAACCTAACTCTAATAATAACTTTCCTACAGGGAAATTGATCACAATCCCTTCGTGGTTTTTCTTTCACTTTTGTACGTATTTCTTCCTATTTTTGTGCCTGACCCGTCTTTCATTTACTTTATTACATGACTACTTCTTTGACTTGACCTCCCTGAGGGCAAGCAGCACTTCATATAACAGCTGTGATGCCCCACATCATGCCTGGTATGATAAAAATGCTAAACAAATTGGTTTGCTTTGTATTCACTTGTGAGTGAACTTGTCTAAACCTACTCACAAATTTTTAACCATCTGCTAAGGTTTAACAGTAACTCAAAACAAAGCCATCCTGGTAGAAATCATACCTGATGCTCTGGATGCTGGCATGACTGTCACAGATGGCTGACACCCAGCAGCACTTGGTACTAGGGAAGGGCCAGTAATTCACTCATATTAGAATCAAGGTTAAACATCACATCAGCCTATCACCCTAAGAAACACTGCTCTCCAAAGTAGTGTAGACGACAAATTACAACATCCAAAGGCTATAACATGCATGCATTTATTAGAATCAAACTTTTAAAAAAACTGACTTGATCTACACTCCTTTCAGCGTAAGATCAGCACTGTGTAGGAAGAGAGCACTGGTTAGGGAGGCTGGCAACCCACACTTGAGAGCTGAATCTCAAATGCGGACAAACGAATGCATTGCCCTGGAAGAGACACTTCTCTAAACCTGTGGGACAAAAACAAAACAACAAACAAACAAACGAGAACACCTTCATCTGAAAGTTGTTAAAATGATGAGGTCAGTTTTACTGGGGACTGTGCAATGAGCATGCCGCCAACCGCGATGAAGCTTAGCGGCAGGGAAGAGAGATTTGGCTAGATTCCAAAAGCAACAAGGAAAATTGGGATTGGTAGCCAAGAAGCAGAGTGAGGATCAGTGGATGGAAATTACAGGGAGGGCAGGGCAGTTCCTTGCTAAACAGACTTAATCAGATTCCTGCAGAATGCTGGCCAAGGGGATCAGCTATAACCCAGGGAGGGCAGAGTCCACAGAGGAATTCCTGTAACTAACCGGCTGGGATTCTTGCTCAAGTTGGGCTCTTGAGAACATGCTCAAGGACAAGGCCTTATTAAAACACATCTCAACGGAGCTGCCCACAAAGGGATAAAGAGAGAATATTTTCCCATGCCCCCCTCTGTTATGAGCATGAAACATTTAACTCAGACCATTGTACACCTCCTTCTGGACCTTACATTTTATTATCAAAACAACCTAGTTCTGTGCTGTTTTCCAACCAGAGACTTTCACTTATCCTATCTATAATAAGCATCTTGTAAGAGCTAAAATCTCAGGGCTCCCTGAATGACTGATGCCACAACAAACTCCCTTCCAGAATCCAAATAGCCCCCATCAAAGGCCACATGAGCAGCACCACGCAGTCTCTCCTTCCACATGCCGCAAACACATTCACAGTGACTTGCTCTTTTCCAGAACTGGCCACTGAGAGAAGGGACTTCGCAACAAAGGATGCTCTCTACAACTCAGCTTCCTCTAGGCCTCTGGCAGTTTCTGCTCATTCGAGCTGACAGACGGGGGTACCCCTCATGGAGGGTACCTCACGGAGCCACAAGCATGTGGGATCAAAGGTGCCCTTGACTCTGTCCTTTCCAGCATGGCTGAGGCATATCGCCTTGACCATGGTGTTCTGTAGTCCCACTTGGCCTGGGGAGAGTGCAGATGGCAGAGAAGACTCAGCCTTGTTGCCAGGGCAGCTGTGCCTGCAGAACTTGCTCTGACAAGAAAGCAAACCATCCTTTATCTTGGAGCTCCAGACATCTGCCAGTGGGAGACGGCATGTCATTTAGAAACAGTGTCATCTTAGCCCTCTAAAGTCAGGTTCTCAAATCCAGATACAGGCATCACAAAACTCAAGTGTTCCAAACACTAAATCCAGGTCAAGTGTACATAGAGT